TATTTTTGTTGTTATGTGGTTAATATTATCGTTATTCTATCAGTATTATTATAAGGATTATTATTGTCATTATCTCTAGTATTTATTCCTTTCTCTATCTATCCATTCGTTCTTCCTTCTGTTTATTCATTCATTGCTTCTATTGTTCATTAATTAATTCCTTCCTTCCTTCTTTCCTTCCTTTCTCCCTTTCTTCATTCACGCATTCTCCGTTCCTTCATTTTTCTTCTTCCTCAGTCCTTCGTTACTCCATTTCTTCTTTCCCTTATTCATCTTTTTTATATCTTTCAATCTTCCTTCTGCCATTCTTTTCTTTCGTCTTTCCATCCTTCCTTACTATCTCTTTTCCTTCCTTCCTTCCTTCCTTCTATTCCTCCTTTCCTTCCCCTACACACGTATTTTCCCCGCTTCCTTCCATTCCTTCTTTCCTTCCTCCATTTACTCATTCTTCCACCGTTCACTCATTCTCCTAGCTTCCTTCCATCCTTCCATTCCTCCATTCCTTCCTCCATTTATTCATTCTCCCTGCTTCCTCCCTCATTCTCCCTGCTTCCTTCCATCCTTCCATTCCTCCATTTGCTCATTCTCCCTGCTTCCTCCCTCAGAACCCGGTCACCGCCCTCACCTGGGGCCACAATGACAAGCGGGTGTTCGTTGCAACGGGCGCCCAGTTGCACATAGGGCGTGTCTCGAGGCGTGTTGCATCGTTGCAGCTGCTCTGTCGCCTTGCAATCAAGAGCAGAGTGACGGAGGAGGACAAGGTAGCGAAGTTACCCCTTCCAAGGAGACTGAGGGCGCTGGTGACGTCATTGTATACTCAGACTATAAGGGTAAGTGAGGGTTGGGAGGGGAATGGGGGGATAGGGGGGGGAGAGGAGTAAGGGGAGGAGTTATTGGAGAGGGGAGGGGGGGGGCGGGGAGGGGAAGGGAGAGGAGGGGAGGGGAGGGGAGGGGAGGGGAGGGGAGGGGAGTGGAGGGGGTAAACGGGATTGGGGGAGGGGAGGGAAGAGGGTAGGGGAAGGGAGGAGGATTGGGGGAGGGGTGGGGGAGGGAAAGAGTGAGAGTAAGGGAGTAGTGAGAATATAGGGATAAGAAGGGAAATATGAGAAGGGGTAAGTGAGAGTAAATGGGGAGAAGGTATGTGTGAAAGTAGAGGAAGAGAGTGAAGGCAAGGGTACGAGGGAAAAGGGAGGGAGTTAAAAGGGGAAGAAAAGAAGTGAAATAACAAGAGAGAGAGAGAGAGAGAGAGAGAGAGAGAGAGAGAGAGAGAGAGAGAGAGAGAGAGAGAGAGAGAGAGAGAGAGAGAGAGAGAAAGCCAATTCGCATGTAGGTGTGTCTTTCCTACAACCACCAATATTTTTCTCCATTTTCCTTTCTCCATTTTCTCTTCCTATCGTCCTCATTTCCCATTTTCCTCCCTTTCCCTCTTCCTCACTTCCCTTCTTCCTCCCCCAGTGTTACATCCCCGAGACGCGGCAGCTCCGTGACTTCGTGTCTCGCCCTCCATGCAACAGCCAGAGGTTGCATTGCACGATGATCAGGCACGACGAGGACCTCATCCCTACCCCCGGGGCCTGCTATACCCTCTACCTGGAGTACCTGGGGGGCCTAGTACCTCTCCTGAAGGGCAAGAGGACCTCCAAGATCCGGCCGGAGTTCGTCATTTTCGATCCTCAAGTTGGTGAGTCAAGATCTTGTTTTCGTTGGGCGGGAGAAGAGGGATGGTGGTGGTGGTGTTTTTTTTAGGATAGTTATACCTTCGATTCGTTTTCTGTTGCGTGTGTGTGTGTGTGTGTTTGTGTGTGTGTGTGTGTGTGTGTGTGTGTGTGTGTGTGTGTGTGTGTGTGTGTGTGTGTGTGTGTGTGTGTGTGTGTGTGTGTGTGTGTGTGCGTGTGCATTTGTGTGTAAGCACGTGTAAGTGTGTTGTGTTTATTAATAAATTCAAAATATGTTAATTTCAAAACACTTTCCATCTTCTTCGATTTCCGTCCTTAACCCATTTTTTTTCATATCCCAAAAGAAAACGAGAAACACCTCAGAGGAATCCAGGGGGGACTATAACCCTATTACCCTTCCCCCCTCGTCTACTGATTACTCCTAATTCCCTTATATTATCATTTTCCCCTCAGACGAAGCCATGAACAAGGAGAACGGTGATAGATCGTGCGGAGGCGTGGGCGTGGGCGTCGGTGTGGGCGGCGTAGTGAACGGACACCCGGTTTTGAGTGACACTTCAGACACAGAATACGAAGATATGTGTGCGTCTCCGAGATTGCAGAGACGGCGAAAACTCAAGCGAAGGTAAGGGGGAGGGGGGGGAGTGGGTGGGTGGGTGTGGGGGAAAAAAGGGGGGGGTTGTGTGTGTGTGTGGGGGGGGAGAAGCGTGGGGGAAAGGGGGGTTGTGTGTGTGTGTGTGCTTGTGTTTGTTTGTGTATGGGGGAGGGTGTATGTGTGTGCGTGTGTGTGTGTGTATGCGTGTGTGTGTGTGTGTGTGTGTGTGTGTGTGTGTGTGTGTGTGTGTGTGTGTGTGTGTGTGTGTGTGTGTGTGTGTGTGTTTGTGTGTGTGTGACATTTAACACTCTTCCACATATACATAATCCCAAATAGCCAAAAAGAAATGACCATTATTTACAATGAAATAATCCTTAACCCTTTTCAATTCCATTTTTCGATTTCCTCTGATAATAACAACAATTTCCTCCTTCAGAATAAGGGAACGGTTAGAGAGCGAGACCGACGAACTTGTATATTTGGATACGCTACCGGAGGTGAGTAAAAAAAAAAAAAAAAACTTAATATATACTGCATAAGCCTTCATATTTTTCACCTCAATTTTTTTTTTCCTTAATGATTCTAAATCCCAAGAGAAAACGGGAATACTTATATATATATTTTTTTACGACGGAGAGATAAACAAAATGGAAGTTCATTATCCGGGGAAATTAATTAAACGAGTTCCCATAAATAATATTAAGAGAGCTTCATTAGCATGAGATTAAGTTATTTACAAGGATCAAATAAAAGAGTAGATAATGTAGCGTGAAGGAAACGATAAAAAAAAGGATTGATGAAGATGACAATAATGATAGTGATAACTACTTATATTGATAATATTAACGCTTGTAATAATGATAGTCATTATTATAATGGTAAAAGTAAAGGTTATTATGATGATATTGATGATTATAATTGTTATGATTATAAAATTGATAATGATATGGATAACATCAATAATGATTCTATTAATAACAATGATCCATAAGCATGAAATAAAATAAAAAGCGCATTTATCAAAAAAAGACAAAGTAAAAGAAATCTATTAATCTACTCTACTTCATCATCTCCATAGATTCACTATCTTCATCTCATCTCCTCCTCTTCTCCGCTTCCTCTTCCATTCCTTCATTCAGAATTATAAATATTTTTCGGAATGATTATATCCATTAATTTATCTCCTCATCTCCACCTCTTCCTTCATTCCTTCGCTCATAACTACATTTTCTTTATTTTTATCCGTCTATTTGTCTCCTCGTCTCCTTTCCCTCCTTCATTCCTTCACTCTTGATTACGAACATTTTCTCTGTTTGTATTCATCTATTTGTCTCCTCCTCATCTCCTCCGTCTCCTTCATTCCCTCACGCGTAACTACATTTTCTTTATTTTTATGCGTCTATTTATCTCTTCATCTCCGTCTCCTCCTTTATTCCCTTATTCACAACTACAACCCTCATCTTCTCATTTTCTCCCTTTCTTCCCTCCTTCATTCTCTCATTCACACTTACAAACCTCATCTCCTCCTCATCTTCGCCTTTTCTCCCTCCTTCTCCTCCCTCCTTCATTCGATCATTCAAAACCACAACCCTCATTTCCTTTTCATTTTTACCCTTTCACCCTTTCCTCCCTCCTTCATTACCTCACGCACAACCACAACCCTCATCTCCACCGCTTTCCTCCCTCATTCATTCCCTCATTCAGCTACAATCCTCATTTTCACCCTTTTCTCTCTCCTTCATTCCCTCTTGCACACCTACAAACCGCATCTCCTCCTCATTTCCTCCTCATCTCCACCCTCTCCTCCCTCCTTCATTCCCTTATTCACACCTACAACCCTCACCTCCTTCTCATCTCCACCGCTTTCTCCCTCCTTCATTCCCTCACTCACCTACAACCCTCATCTCTTCCTCATCTCCATCCTTTCTCCCTTTCCTCCCTCATTCATCTACAGTCCTCATCTCCTTCTCATCTCCGCCCTCTCTCCCTCCTCCTCCCACAGCAACACCGCCTCGTCGAAGTGACCTCCAACATCTGGGGCACGAAGTTCAAGCTGCACGGGGTGGCCTCGTCTCTGCCGGCGAACCTAGGTCAGATCACCTACAAGACCTCCCTCCTGCACCTTCAGCCGCGGCAGATGACCTTGGTGATCACGGAGCTACGGGAGGACATTCCACCGCGACCTGACCCGACCTTTAATCCTAATGTCTTTTCGGAGGACGAGGAGGATCTCGGTATGGGTTGCTGGGGGGTCAATGGGCAGGGGGGTGGGGGGAATTTATTTTTTTGGAGGGGGAAGGGAAGGGGTTGGTTTGTTTCGTTTTATTTTGATTTGTTTATTTTTTTGTTTTTCTTAGGGAGGGTGTGATTTTTTTTTTGGGGGGGAGGGGGAATGAGGGTGGAAGGGTGTGATTTTTTTTTTTTTTTTTTGGGGGGGGGGGTAAGAGTTGATCTTTTTTTTGAGGGTGAGGGACAAGGGGTGGGTGATGTGTTCTTTCTTTTTTATTATTATTTTTTTAAACGTCATCACTGGTATTTCCTTTTTTTCATTTCCTATCATTGTCGTTACTATCACGCCATCATATTATCATATTTTCTTCACTATCCTTCCATTATATCATTATTTACTAAATGTTTTTACATAATATCTAAAAAATATATTTTATCATCCATATATCATTCTTTTTCTTTTCTTTTTTATATACTTTTTATGTATGTTATTCATTTCCTCTTGCATGATTAATAAAATGATGATTTATGAATAGAATTTTAAATTGTTTTTGACTTGTATATTGATAATTGCAATCTTATAATTGCCATATCGAGAGCAGGTCGAGCTGTTTATTCATTACATTAATTGCCTCCCTCTATATAGATAATTATTGAAAGTAAACTATTTTCCTAACGCCATTTGAAATATGATTTAATATTAAGGTTTCTAGAGAATAATAAAAAAAAATTGTAATCAATAACGGATAAATAAGTCCTTGAGATAATGAATGCCTCAGAACGCATACCGTGCCCTTGGCTTCCCTGACGCGCCTCCTTCCGCAGGGGAGCGCCTCGCCTCCCGGAGGGCGCCCGACCTGCCCTCGGACGTGCCGCCCATCGCGCCCATGACGCCCCGCCGGACGCCCTCCTCCTACTCGCGCCAGGGCCTCCACACCAATCTCTGGGACGCGCCCACGCCCACGCCCGCGCCCATCCCGCCCCCGACGGAGCTCGCGAGCGTCGAGGGCAAGCTGGAGGGCGAGAGTGACGGGGGCGGGCTGGAGGGCGTGGTCCTGGACGGCAGCGGCGGCGCGGCGCTCCTGCGCGAGCTGGAGGAGCACCCGTACGTCGACCTTGCCACGCCCGAGATGCTGCAGCTGCGCGACGGCCTGCGGGCGGAGCTGCGCGGGGAGGCGCACGCCCACCACGCCCTGGCGCCCACGACCACCAGCGCCGCGCCCACCACCAACCACCACAGCCAGCCCGAGGCGCACGTGTTCTCCCTGGTGCGCAGCTCGGCGCCGTCCAGCCCCAAGCACTCCGTCAGCCACTTCTGCTGCGACGCCGGCACGCTGCAGTCGCCCAAGAACATCGTGGCGCCCATCGTGACGCGCCACTCGACCGCCGCCAGCGCCGCCCTCCTGGAGATCGGCGGCGGCGAGGTGGGGCTCGTGGGCGGCGCGCGGACGGGCATCAAGACCTCCTCCCCCGTCGTGGCCGCCTCCGGGGCCAGCAGGACGACCTCCTCGTCGTCGTCGTCGTCGTCCTCGTGCGCCTCGTCCAGCGCCCCGCCCAGGCACGAGGAGCTGCGCCTGGTGAGCTCTGACAACGCGCTCCTCCTCCACCACTTCGCCAGCAGCGCCCCCGCCCCCTCCCTGCCACCCACCCCCGCCAGCAACGCCACCTCTACCGCCTCCGCCCACAACACGACCGCAACCAACAACCACCTCAACCACACCACCACCAACGTCACCACCACCACCACCACCAACTGCAACAATAACAACAACAATAACAGTAACAACAACAACAATAATAACAACAACAATAACAACAACAACAACAACAACAATCAGAACAACAACAGCAACACCTACTACAGCAGCAGCAGTACAAGCAGCAGTAACAGCAGCAGCGGAAACAGCACATACCGCAGCCCTACACACACACAGGTAAATGACGTCATCGGGGGGTAACGAGGTTATTCACTTTTCTTCGCCGTGGCTCTGGCACTAATGAGGGAGGGGGTGTCATTAGGGAAAGAGGAATGGTGGGAATGATAATTGGGGGGGGAGGGGTAAGTGGTCAAGGATAATGATTGTGATAATGATAAAGGCAATAATTAAATCGATCATTAAAAATATTAGACTTGACAATGATAGTCAATTATATTCAATTTTAACAAATAAATATAAAGATTATATATAATTGTGATAATAAAGATAGTAATAATGTCAATACTAATGATACCAATGGTTATAAAGACAATAAGAATTATATTAATGATCTAAATACCGGGAAAGCAATAATTAACTCAAGGTTTTTAATCATGGTGTTAATTATACCAAAATATTGAACAGTCGAAATAGAACAGAACAGAACATTTTTGGAAAAGGGGAAAGAGAAGAGGAAGAGAAAGAGTGAGAGGAAGAATGGGGGAAAAAAGGAAATAGAAAGAGAAGAGGGAACAAGACAGGGACTTAAAGAAAGAGAAAGTGAAAGGGTAAGAGAGAAAGCGACCGGAAAAGTGACAAGATTTTTTTTTCTCGAAATTTCAAATTATCACAAAATTTGTTCCTTTTAAAATAATACAACAATTATGCTAACATGCAACTCACAGACACAGCTTGCAGTTGCCAATTACTCGCTTTTCCTGCTTTGCATTTGTAATTGTATGCTTCATAGGTCTCCGTAATTAATATTAAGATGTGTGTGTGTGTGTGTGTGTGTGTGTGTGTGTGTGTGTGTGTGTGTGTGTGTGTGTGTGTGTGTGTGTGTGTACGTGTACGTGTACGTGTACGTGTACGTGTGCGTGTGCGTGTGCGTGTGCGTGTGCGTATGAGTGAGTGTGAGTGTGAGTGTGAATGTGAGTGTGAGTGTAAGTGTGTGTGTGTGTGTGTTTGTGTGTGTGTGTGTGTGTGTGTGTGTGTGTGTGTGTGTGTGTGTGTGTGTGTGTGTGTGTGTGTGTGTGTGTGTGTGTATTGTACATTGTCAATTGATTTTCTAATGTATCTGTTT